CCTCCAATCTCAGAGCAGAGACTAAGACAATGGAATCACAATGTTGATAATCTGACCACAAAATAAGATAGGAGTGGAGAGCAAGGAAATAAACCCAATATAAACAAGCAAAAGACAATTGATAAACTTGGTATATACAATGACATCACACATACCTCTCTTATGTAAAGAGTTCTTGAACATTAGTAGAGAAAAAAAACTATTATAAATAGACGGATCATTCCAAAATATGTCGATGGCCCTTAAATACGTGAAAATAATGAGTAGAAATGTGTAAACAGATACAAAAGTACAATGCTATCTCTTACCTATTGGTGGCACAAATTAGAAAGTATTACAATATATTCTGCTGACACAGCAGTGGGAAATGATCTTACCCAGTTAGAATTAAAACTGGTGTGCCCTTCTGGAAGGAAAATACACAATGCTTAGCAATACCTCATGAATGAAAAAGAAGTAACACAATTACTTCTGCCCGCTCAGATCACAGTGAACTAAAACACGAAACCAACAGCAGGAGAAACCACAGGAGCTACACAAATACTGGAACATTAAACAATCCATCCCCAATAAGCACTGGGCCATGGAAGAAACCGGAAAAGAAACTTTAAAAAATGTTAGAATTAAGTGAAAATATTATAATTTACCCAAGCCTCTGGGATATAGCTGAGGCAGTTAGAAGAAGAGATTTTATAGTCATAAATACTTAATGAAAACAACAATGAAGCTGAGAGAGGGCTGGAAAGACCTCTGGAGGCTAAGAGCCCTTGCTGCTCTTCAGAGTCTGGTTCCCAGCACTGACATGAGACAGCACAGGGAGGTGATGCCCTCTTCTGGCTTTTCCAGGCACCACACTCATGCGTACATGAGCATGCACAAATATGCACACATACCCATGATTACTGAAGAAAGAGTTAGTTTCTTGAAAAGGTAAACAAGAGCCATGAACCTGCCTTAGTTAGGGTTTCTATTGCCGTGAAGAGACGCCATGATCTTGGCAGCTCTTATAAAGAAAACTGTTTCACTGGGGCTGCCTTACAGTTTCAGAGGTTTTAGTCCATTATCACCATGGAAGGAAGCATGAAGCCTGGCAGTGTGCAGGCAGACATGGTGCTGGAAAAGGGGCTGAGAGTTCTCATCCTGACCTGCGGGCAGCAGGAAAAGACGGAGCCACACGAGGACTGGCTTGAGCATCTGAGACCTCAAAGCCCGCCACCAGTGACACACTCCTCCAGCAAGGCCACACCTCCTCCAGTAAAGCCACAACTCTTCATAGTGCCACTCCCTATGGGCCAAGTACTCAAACACATCAGTCTATGGAGGCCATCCCTATTCAACCACCACAGAGCCCTTACCCAAGCTAAAGAGAAAGAAGGCTCAGTTTGATAAAAGTGGGGATGGCGAGGGGAAGGTACAACAGACTCCAACGAAATCCTGAGAATCACTAGGAAATCTGTCAAACTTGTACTTCAAAAGTCAGAGAATCAAGAAGGACTAGATAGATTCCTAAATATCATGACATACTGAAATCAAATCAAGAACAAATCAGCCGCTTAAGTAGACCTATAATGGGCAATGGGATTGAAGCCACACAACAATCAAAAAGTATTCTCTGAAACAAAGCCCTGGATCCATATGGTTCACTGCTGAGTTCTACAAGACCTTTTAGGAAGAGCTGCCAAATTGTTCCATAAACTGGAAACTCACACTCAAAGCCAGTACTGTCTGATACCAAAACTGGAAAAAAAAAAAAAAAAAAAAAAAAAAAAAAACATAACCACCACTAGTAACTGTGGACCGATTATCCTGATGCATAGATCATAAATACAAAAATTCTCAACCAAATAATTACATGCTGATTTCAGGAACACATTTAAACAAATAATGTGTCATGACCAAGCTGGCTTTTATCCAAGGTATGCAAGTTCGGTACAGCCTAGGCAAACTAGTACATGCAATTTAGCATACAAATTCATAAATGGACTTCATGGCAAAATCACATGATTTATCTCAACTGATTCAGAAAAGGTCCTTGACAGAGTTCAGCATCCCTTCACAGTAAAGGCCCTACAGTGTTGCCATAATGTTATTGTGCACTGTGTAAAGTTTACCCCCGGGTTTACTCAAATGCTGATTTCTCCACCCCACTATCCGGTTTCAATCTGGACATGGCATTGTAATGTTTATCCTAAGAATCTCCTGTCTCAGGTTTGTGTAAACGTGCTCACCATGTGTTCTATGCTTTGCCAACAACAGAACATTAGAGAAATTAGGGTGGGACATCTGTTTCCAGTGAAGGGAGAAGTAAGAGAGAGGAAGTGGAGTTTGGCACGAGGAGGAGAGGTCCAGGGGTCTTCAAGAGAAAAGAGAAGGGCAAGTATTATGGAGATTTTGGCTGGGGAGGGAAGGTAGATTAGCCATAGAACATTAGCACAGACTTATGATGCCCAGGTATTGTGCTCAAGGCTAACAAGCCAGAGTTTCTCTGCGTCAATCATTTGGGAGCTAGCTGGTTAAAAAAAGCTGCCGCTGTACTAATTTCCAGGAACATTACATACTAATTACTCATTTTACACTACAGTCAACATCAAACGGGAACTGTGGGACCAAGAACACATTCCCTAAGATCTGGGGCCAGACCCAGCTGCCTACTCTCTTTTACTTAAGATAATGATCCAAGAGGGAGGGAGGGAGGGAGGGAGGGGGGAAGGAGGGAGAAAGGAAGGAAGGAAGGAAGGAAGGAAGGAAGGAAGGAAGGAAGGAAGGAAGGAAGGGCACACAATATAAGTAAGAAGTCAAATCATCCCTATTTGCAGATGACATGGCCCAGGACTGAAAAGACGATAAAGGCTCTGCCAGAAAACTCTTAAAACCCATCAATACTTTCAGGAAAGCAGCAGTTACACAAGCCAGCAGTTTTACTATATATTACTATTAAACATTCCAAAAAAGAGATTAGAGGGGGAAAGTCATTCATAACAGCTTCAAAATAATAAACAAATAAATAACCTGGGAATAAACCTAACCAAGTAGTTAGACACCTACAATGAAAACTGTACAACTGAATAAAGAAACTGAAGAAACCATTAAAGAATGGACAGACCACCCCCCCATGGTCTTCAATAGGCAGAACACTGTAAAGAAAAAAAATTACCAAAAGCAGTCTACAGGCTCAATGCAATCCCTAGAAAAATCCAATCCTATTCTTCACAGAAGTAGAAAATTATCCTCAGATTCATACAGAAGTTCCAAAGACTCCAACTAGGCAGAGCAGGAAGAACAATGCTGGAAATATCACGGTATTTAATCTCAGACTGTACTATGGATCCTTAATAACACTATCAGCACAAAACAGGGCACACAACACAGGCCAGTAGAATAGAATAAAGGACCTAGAAATAAATCCACACACTTGCAGCTACCTGCAGCTACCTACAATCACCTACCATCACCTGCAGCCACCCACTGGCAACTGCCTGCAGCCACCTATGATTTGACAAAGGGTCAAAAATATACATCAAAGAAGCAGTTTCTTTTAACTAATGGTGCTGGGGAATTGGCAATCCAGCCCAGAAGAATGAAATGAGATCTCTCGAACTAGGCACAAAAATCAATTCTAAAGAGATGAAAGTAATAACATAAGACCCCAAAACTACAAAACTGCCAGAAGTAAGCACAAATAAAAACACTTCAGAATACAGGCATAGACAAGGACTATCTGAAAAGATGAAGAAGCACAGGGAATAATTCCAATGACTGACAAATAGGATTACACAAAACTGAGAAGGTTTTGCAGGGCAAGTCACTAGAGTGAAAGCTTACAAAATCAGGGAAAATGCTGTCACTTTTACATCAAACAGAGGCTAAATATCTCTAATATACAAAGGAAAATTAAACACCAAACAAACATTCCAGTGAGCAAACTGAATAATAAGCCAAACAGACAAGTCTCAAAAGATGAGGCACAAATGGCCAATAAATACTTTGAAAAAAAGTTTAAAATCTGTAGAAATCAGGAAATACATATTAATAGTGCATAAAGCCAGGCCTGGTGGTACACGGCTGTAATCCCAGCTGTCAGAAGCAATTTAAGGATGGAAAATCTGACTTTAGCTAAAGTTCAAGGGGAGGTCATGGGGAAGGTCAGGGCAGCAGGAACTTGAAGCAGCTGGTCACATTAAATCTGCTACCTCCATGGTCAGGAAGCAGACTGGGACAGATCCTGGTGCTCCTTTTCATATAGTCTTCGACCCCAGCCTATGGAACAGTGCTATCCATATATTGAGGTTGGCATTCTTACCTTCATTAGTCCAATCACTTTTAAATTCAGCCTCAACCAAGGTCTCATGTTGTGTGTTGGTCTGGTGCTATGTATTCTAATGCTAATTACTGGCTCCCCAAGATCTGGTTGCCACCCAGATATCTTCACCTACACTGTTCTTTGTTATGTAAACCTTGCTCTAGCTAATTTAAAGTTGATTGGTTAATAAAGTTGCTGAAGCCTGTAACTGGGCAGAAGAGAAGTAAGTGGAGCTTAGGTTCCCAGGCTTGGGGTCTCAGAGAGACCACAAGGCCAGAAGGAAGAGAGAGAGGAAACAGAAGATGCAGCAGGAGGAGAGGAAGCTAGAGAGAAAGAAGTTGCCATGTGGCAGCACGGGCTCTAAAGGCTGGCCTGACATAACAGAAGTAGCCCAGACATATTAAGGCAAGTAACATGGAGTATGTAGCTGGGAAATAGCAAAATAGCTCAGAGAGTTGACACCTGCCCAGTTACTGTGCTTAAAACTTTTTTTTAGGTCAAGGTCTCTGTCTCTATCATTTGGGAACTTGCTAGGATAGAGAAGGTCTCTAGAGTATAATAATCATTCCACAACAGTCTCAGGACATGGGGAAAATACAGCTAGATTTTTTGCCAAAACGTAGCTGGAACAGTCTGGGCCTCCACTGTCCACATTTCTCTCAGCATTATCACCTTCCACACTCCCACCAGACCGGCTCACCAAGCTCTGCTCGCAGCACTCTAGTTCTTTGGCCCACAGCTTCAAACTCTTCCACATTCCTCTCACAAATCAGCTCCAAAAGCCCATGAACCACCTGGTCCGGGTTATCATCACGGCAAGGACTCCACTTCCCAGTGTCAATCTCCTGTATCAGCTGTGGCAGCGCTGTGCAAAAATACCAGGCAAAAGGAACTTAAGAAAGGGGATATGCTGGTTCACAGTTTGCAGATAACACCCATCATGTCAGGGAAATCATGGCAACAGGCGCTGGAGAATCTGGTTGCATTGCAGGCATAGTCAGGTGCAGAGAGAGATCTTATTCACTTATTCACTTATTCATCTTATTCACTCTGAGACCCTAGCTCACAGGAAGGTGCCACTCAGATGCAAGGCAGGCCTTCCCTCAATTAAACCAATATAGGAAATCCCTCATAGACATGCCCAGAAACTTGCCCCCTGGGTGATTCTAGGTCCTATCAAGGTGACAATCGTTATGAACCATCACAGCCATTTACAAGTTTGAGGTCATCCTGAGTACATAGTGAGACGCTATCTCAAATAAACATGTCCCATCAATAATTAAGTGGCAGTGACCCTTACAAACAAACAATTAAGCAATATTAATATTTGCCCCTGGGCCCTGTTCAGCCCCTTTGGTCTCTCAATCTAGCTTAATGGGATCACTTCCAAATGACCTACTTGCTCACTCCTCTTTGTTTTAGGGCAGATCATGTTTTAGGAGAGAGAGAGATCATGGAGACACAAGTGAAGAAAATGATACAGACTGTCCCTTAAAGACAAGTTATAGATATAAATAAAAAAAAAATCCAATCAGTAGGAATATTTACTAAATCCACAAAACATCCATTAATGTCAGTGCCTGAAAACTCCACTTCCATTAATAAACTATTTTAAACCCAATGTGGGACTGAAAGCATAGGCCAAGAACACTTCTCATGGTCATTCAGAGAAAGCTCAGGAAGAATTTCAAGTTGAACTTCCTTTTTCTTTTCCTTTTTCTTTGCCACACAGACAAACAGACAATAGAAAGACATCTTTAGCACACTGCTTCCAGCTTCTTGTGCTCCTAAAGAAGCCTGTCACCAGATATCAACAATGACAAAAAAATATGACATTTTTCATTTTGAAAAAGAGGCTTAGTTATACTTACCCCCCCCCAAAGAGACTCCCTGTGTAAAACAGTAGATAGTGTGTTTGTTTTTTTAGAGGCACCTAAGAGGAATCACAAACTAAAATTCCATCAGTAAATTCAACCTTATTGCTACTTAAAACCTATTGTTTTAACAGAGAGCTGCCTAGCTGCACTCACCAGCCACAGTCACGATGCTTTATGTTTTACACACAAAGCTTTGGTTCTTCTCATTGTCCATTTTTCTTTCTCTCCTGTGGTGTTGGCCAGGTGCTGGGCAAACTCTACCACGGAGCTCCAACTCCAGGTGCCCAGGACTTCCTGCCCTTTGCAGTAATGTCTGCTTGTCATCAAGAAGATTGCCTACTTCCCTGAAGAAGAAGAAAACAGGAATTATGAAGTTAAAGTTTTGTTAGTCAGTGCCCCAGTTTCTTATTGCCTCGAAATATATATCAGTTGGGAATATATATATTTATCTCAGTTGGGAATATACATATGTATATATAGTAGTTGGGAAAAGACACTAAGAATAGCACATCTTAAGATCTTAAGTCTGGTCTTCAAGGAACTAGGCAAGGTTTTAAGGGTAACTGGGGCAGAGGGCTCCTTTAGTGATGAATGATCCTTCCAACGTATGATAAACACACACACACACACACACACACACACACACACACTCACTCTGTGAGACAGACAGACACATGCACAGAGAGAGAGAGAGATGGACAGAGAATTTTACTGTAAAGTGACACTGTTAGACCCCAGCAGGTTCCCTTTTATTACCCCAGAGTTAACAGCCCTGAGGTGATGCACATGTCTAGGTCCTAGCCCCATAAGGCGTGTTCCCTCAGCATGTCAAATCATATTGCTCATCACTTCCATTTACATTTTCCAGTCTCTTAAAGAATGAGTGGACACTGTTAGGAAAACACTATTTCCTAAAACCTTCTCTCAAATAGTAAACTCCACTCTGGTAAGACCAGGATGACCAGTTGCCCAGTTTGTGCCGTGTACTTATAAAGACCTCTCTTAGTTAGTGTTACTATGCTGTGATGAAACCCCATGACCAAAAGCACACTGGGGAGGAAAGGGTTTATTTTGCTTATGCAGATACTTTCGCTGTTCATCACCGCAGGAAGTCAGGCCAGAAACTCAAACAGAGGAGGAACCTGGAGGCAGGAGCTGGTGCAGCGGATATGCAGGGGTGCTGCTTAAGGGCTTGCTCCCCATGACTTGCTCAGCCTACTTTCTTCTAGAATTCAGGACCACCAGCCCAGGATGGCCCCACCCACCCACAATGGGCTGGGCCCTCCCCATCTATCAGTGATTAAGAAAATGCCTGCAGGCTACAGCCTTTTCTCAACTGATACCCTCTCTGATGACTCCAGTGGACATAAAAACTAGCCAGCACAGGACCCAAGGGCCACGGAAGGTTGGGAACTAGAAAATGCATAAACATAAATATGTAAAAATCTACACAAACTAAGGGGGCTCAAGCCATACTGAGGGCCAGATCACAGCTCAGAGCCCTGGCTCCCCTGTCCTATACAAACAAGGCTCTCATCCTGTCAAATGAATTCAGATTTCCCTAAGTATCAACCCTCCCCCAGCAAGAAAGCTAATTACAAATGTACCTTTTCCAAGGTAAAAATACCATTTTTTTTTTTACTAAATTAGTGAACTCTGTTAATTAACTTTACCAAACTCCCCTCTGTTATAAAACACAGATTTTTATCTGAGACATTCACAGCTCTCCTTGGACACATTGGGCTCACAGGCCACAGGTTGGGCACACCAACACAGGACATTTACACGCGTAAGGGAGAACTCTATACAGGGAGGGTAAAGAGCACCAGCATTTACATTTATACGTCATAACCTAGCCGGGTGGTGCTCTGACGACTGATCACCAAGTGTCTGTATCGCACGCAGAATGGAAACCGCAGCTTATTGGTTAGATCAAACCTTAAGACATGAGTGGATACAGAACACGACAGGAAACAGAGTTAACCTAGACTTCGGAAGTCGGGATGCTCAGTGGAGCTTGGTAGCTGGGCGTGAGGAAGAGTCACTATGGACGGCTGTAGCCGGTGCACTGAGGGTGGTCCGTTTCAGAGTGCTTCGGCGCCGGTCAGCTGGTCGGTCTGACACCAAGCAGCAGGCTAAACGGACACTTTCGTGCTCCAATACATAAGGTGGGTGGGGATCATAAAAGCCACTCCAAAAGGGGGTGCACAAAATGCTACGGTCCCACTACCCCGTAAATGGCCAGAGATCCGACCTGTGGAGACTGAAGCTTTTCCTTACCAGAAAGCTGGGGCTCCACCTTACAAAAATCACCAATCTCAACTTAGCGAAGCTCTCAGAGATTCTGCAGTCTATGGTCTAAGGCATGGCCACTGGCTTTAATTACTGTGAGGTATCTCAGTTCTCACCCGTAACAGTATGTCTGCTTCTAGATTCCCGATGATAGCAGACAGGGCTAATATTTGAAAGAACTTAGGTAATACAACACCTCTTGTCTTAACATCAATCGGTATGAGTAGCCTTTCCTTCAAGTTTTTGGGTTTTTTTTTGATCCACACCAGGCAGTGGTGGCGCTGCTTTAGTCCCAGCTCGGGAGGCAGAGGCAAGTGAATCTCTGTGAGTCGGAGGCCAGCCTGGTCTACAGAGCAAATTCAGCCAGGGCTACACAGAGAAACCCTGTCTCGAAAAACAAAGAAAACAAAGCAAAACGAAAAAATTCTCCACAAAACTTACAACAACTGAAAGCCAGGAACCTGGCTACCTGGAGGAAACATTTCCTCATTTCTTCATCACCTGGCTAAAGCACACAAAACTGATCATTGGGCCTGCACCCAGTTTCTGTTGGTTCCATTTCCTTGGAAAGAGAGTACATAATGTTTTTTGGTGGTGTAGAACTGGAATCAGTTATCTCACTAGGAGACTTTCAGTGGCTTACAATACAAGGGTAAACTAGTAATCTAAAAACCCCTATCATCTTACCCTGAAAAAGAGACTCCTGTCTATCAAAATTATGCCCCAGCCTTTCCATGCAAGCTGGAACATTCCATACTGCAATGTTCACAGACACAAAAAGTGAGAGAACTGGAGAACGGATGGAACGCTGTTTAAAGCCTGCCCCGTGCTATCCAAGCTGACAGGTAAAATGCGCCACCCCTCTTTGACTTCACAGCCACCTGATTAACGTAACTGGTTCTACATGTTTCGTTGCCTGGACTAGACCATGCATAAGTGACGCCATAGCATAGCAATGTATTTGACAACCCAAGTAGGGAAATTTGGACAGAAATCAGGCTAGCCACCGATGATTGGGTTCCCTGCTGTAAGCTGGACAGGGCTTTGTGAGATTGATAAACAAATCCTTGTCCTTGTCCTGGTCCCTGATATCACCCAAGGTCTGTGTGCTTCACCCATCTCAGGCTCCTAGAGAACAGATTATATGACTCAATGAGGAGAGTAAAGAGAGCCCTGAGCTGAGAACGAATGCCGAAGTACTCAAGGCAGATTCTGGCTGTTTTCTTTCCCCCCCTCAAGTCTTTTTAGCTTACAAGAGGCAGAGGTAGGAGGAGGACAGAGCACAACAAACAGCTACACAGTGCCACTCAGGCCAGACAATTCCTCAATCAAGAGACTCAGGACACTGAGCGGAGTAGGAGTCTACCAGATTGAATACCAGCATCACTGAAGACAGGGTAGAGCAGCAGCTTTCAGCCTCCTTAATGCCGTGACCCTTTGAAAAAGTCCCTCATGCTGTGGTGACCCCCAGCCATAAAATTATTGCTGTGGCAATTTCATAACTAGTTTTGCTGTTATGAATCATAACACAAACACCTGATATGCAGCCTATCTGATACGCGGCACCCACAGATTGAAAGCCACGGGTGTAGACGGTGCCCTGCGGCTCTAAGGGTCAGAGTGAGTTTACGACACTTAGGTCTGTTATCCGCACACTGATCTCCAAACGGATTCCCGCAGCGGCTGTATGAGTTTGCACCATCACAGCAGCAAACAAGGATTCCTCCTGCCTGTGCCTCCCCAGTGCTGGGATTAGAGGCGTTCACTAATGTGACCATGTAAGTCATTTGCTTTTAGGACTTGTTAGCAATCGAGATCTCTGGGGATACTCTCTGTAATTAAAACTTTTTGGTAAATAATTTATAAATTTATATATATATATATATATATATATATATATATATATATATATATATATATATATAATTTATCTAAACCACTGAACTTACCCACACCAGAGTTTTGCTTCTTAGGAAAGTAGCAATGAATGGAAATCTACCTTTTTTTTGGGGGGGGGGGTCTGTGTAGCCTTGGTTGTCCTGGACATGCTTTGTAGACCAGGCTAACCTCCAGCTCACAGAGATCCGCCTGCCTCTGCTTCCCAGAGTGCTGAGATTACGGGTGTGTACCACCCAGCTGGGAGTCCACTTTTTAAAAACCACATTAAAACCCTGAGCATAAGCTCAGGCATTGAGACAGCCTTAAGCCATAGGAGAATCTGGAGCTGCTGAAGCTCATTGGTAGAATCCCTGCTTAGAATTCTTGTGAGTCTTGTATGATCCTCTCTCTGCACAGAACAAAAAAAAAAGGACTTGCTGTATTTAACTGGCTCATAGATATCATCAATTTTCAACCTAAGTTCACTATTGCTCCGTTTTTTATGTTAAGTCTCAAATAAATAGAAAACCCGCCATACACTTAATTGTTCATACTCAGGCCATTCCATTAAAAAAATTACCTTTAAAATTATGCAATCTTCGGGCTGGAGAGATGAGAACGCTTTGACCTCTTCCAGAGGCGACATTTTGAATCCCAGGGTCCAGGGGATCCGAAGCACACGTGGTGCACAGACATGAAATCAGGGAGCACACGCACATAGAATATTTATAAAACAATTATGCCGTGGGGCTGGCTCAGCACTTAAGTCGCTTTTACGCATGCGCTCAACTTGGAGGTCGGCTTCCAGAACCCGGGGGAATGCTGGGTGGGCCCAGGACTTGTGAAATCGCAACCTGGCAAGGCAGTTCCGGGATCCTCAGCGCGCCGGAGCATTCATAACCGTGGCACATTCACATCAGGGATTCTGGGCTTTATTGAAACTGCCACGGTGAATAAGACTGAGCTACGGGGAGAGTAACTTCACCGCATGAACGCTAGCACATATGGAAACAGGCAGAGAAACGCCACACCCACAATGCGACCACGCCCACACATGCGTGCGCACGCCCACACAAAGCAGCACACAATCACCCACGTCCGCAATCCGCGCGCGCTAACACACAAACATGCGTGCATCCAAAAAAATAATTGGAAAAATAAGTGTTTATGCAGAACAGAGAAAGGACTTTAGTGCGCCTTGCCATGTTGCAGCCAGGCTCGTTTCCATGACATCGGGGAAGAGGCGCTGCTGCAGACACCGTTACCCTCCAGTCCCCGCCCCCAGCTCGGTGTGTGGAGTTGGGACCCAATTCCTCCGGGGGACCCCTCATAAAGGACAGCCTAATAATGGTGACAGGCGAGAGGATAGGGAAGTCAGGGCGAAACCCGGGGTCAAAAACACCTCACCAGCGGGCAGCATCTTAACCAAACCACAACATGGCAGCTGAAGGCGGTTTCGCGTGCTCTGTGTGGCTGAGTGAACGGAAGCCGTTTTATCGGGATCCAGCGTAATCGTTATCCAAATGTGACATCCAATAGAGTAGAAAGATCAGCACCAAAGACCTAAGTGTTTTTATTTACCTAAGAAGCCTTCTTGTGAGGGCAAACAGCATTTTCTTTAGAAGAGCCTGGCTTTTCTCAGTATACCTTAAAAGTCTTTACATTGGGTCCTGCGCGAGGTATGTGCTTGTGCTTCTCAGGTAAAGCATGGCCAAAAGCTTACGGAGTAAGTGGAAAAGGAAGATGCGTGCTGAAGAGAAAAAAGAATGCCCCAAGGGAGCTCAACAGACTTAAAAGTATTCTCAAAGTTGACAGTGATGCCTTAATGAAAGATGTTGAAGAAATAGCAACTGTGGTTGTACCCAAACATTGCCAAGAGAAAATGCAGTGTGAAGAAAAGGCAGATGAAGAAAAAGATGACACAAAAATGGAGATTGAAATTAAGAGAAACAAAAAGACTCTTCTAGACCAGCATGGCCAGTACCCAGTGTGGATGAACCAGAGGCAGAGAAAAAGGCTGAAGGCAAAGAGAGAAAAGAAGCGGGGGAAAAACAGAGCCAAGGCAGCGAAGGGCCTGGCCTGGTAGACCCTTAAAAACTGAGGAGTATTACATGGGACAGAATGTTCATTTGTTCGGAATGTCTTCACAGATTTCCGCTCTCACTACATAAAAGCTATTTGTTTTCATATTTTAGTTCGGACTTAATTGTTTAATTCAAAACCAAAATAACTCATTTGTGTTGGGAGCTTAATAAAAATGTATTTTGTAATGAATGAAAGTTATGTTGAAGTTGTAATTGGATACTGCCTGATACTTGAGTACTATCAGACATCTCAATCTTGTGAACATTAATGTAGCTGTCATTATTTGCTCTTTCAGCGGCAGTTATACTCAGTGCCTCGAATTAAACATGCTTATGCAGATAGAATTTGGACAGAAAGCTATTATCATATTTAAAAACAGGGTATCAAGGGGCTGAAGAAATGGCTTAGCAGTTAAGGTCACATACTGCTCTTACTGAGAACTTGTTTCTTGTTGGCTCAAAACCAGATCCCAGGCATGCACCCTCTCCTGGCCTTCACTGGCACCTGCATTCATGTGCACAAGCTCCCCCTGACACTAATAACTAAAAAAGAAGTCCTTAATAAAAGGGCATAGTGGACCTTACAATAGTAAATATTTGAATTTTTTATAATTCACAATAAAATAGTCAGTGGGCAAAAAAAAAAAAAAAAGTCTTTACATTGTTTTGTTACCTGACGAAATGGGAATTTTAAGAGCCCTGAGATTTTTGGTACTCTATTTTTTCATTATTTGTCTGTGAGCGCTGGCACCCAGGGAAGAGCCGCACAGCCTCCCCTGGAGCTGCAGCTGGAGGCAGCGGTGAGCTCATTCACATAGGCAGGTGCTGGGAACAAACTCCGTCCTCTGCAAGGCTGCTAATCATGGCGCCACCTCTCTCCTTCCAGGCCTCATTTTTAATTTGTAAAAGTTAACAACTTGATTGAAGAAAAAAAAAAAAAAAAAAGGCCAACAGCTGGCCAGAGAAAAGTAATGCCAAAAGCACCGTTGACTGCAACTTTGCTACACCTTACAACTCCAAAATAACTGTGGTAGAAAGCATCTGTGGCTATGCAGAAATACGATTTAAAAACAGTGGGTCCCAGACTTCACAGCATTTCGGTGGAGTTACAAATGGTTGGATGGTCAGAATTTTCTAGTTCACTACCTGCACATTGCTCATTCCAGAACCATTTGTAAATTAACCCACATAGTTCTCTGCACTGGTGGTATCAAAACAAATTCCTCAGATGGCTACTGGGATTCTTGATCTCTGAGAATTATGACATATGCTTATGAGAACACCAACACCTTACTTCAGGATGCTTTCCATTTTCTGCGATAAAGCATTTTCTAATCAAAAAACCGGACAATGTCAGAGATACAACAGAAACACTAAAAACAACAGAATGACTTCAGGGCATAATGCTGAGGTGACTGAGCAGCCTAGCTGTCGTCTGGGTCCATAAGTCCACACGTCGCGACACAGGTACTCAAGACCTGAAGCACTGCTGAGTGGCAAGTGATTTAGCAAGCAGTGCTGGGCTACAGACTGAGCTCAGCTGGCAGAGGGCTTGCCCAGCATGCAGGGGGGCAGAGTGACAGTGTCCTCCTGCAATCCTATCACTCAGCTAATAGGGGCAGGAGAAACATTAGTTTAGTCACTCTTGGCTATATGGTATTAAGAGGCCGGCCTGGGACACATCAGGCTCTGAAAAGAAACAAGTAAGAAATCATACTTCTCTTCAACATCACTGAAGTGCTTAGAAACATTTATTTTATGCTTAGAATATTTTTCTAAGCCACCACAAACTACATATCCAAACTCTGACAGCAGAACATTTAATATTATAAAGGAGAGGCCTAAAAGGAAGCTGTCACACATCACAACACTGCAAGTCTAAGACTCACACAGAATGTAAGGGGCGGGAGTGTCGCAGAAACCGTCTATTCCATAAAGGCCGGATGACTCATTCTGAGAGCTTAGTCAGCTTTCCCCCTTACAGGCATCAAGACGGTCTCCCGCTACCCTCTTCCCTTGCTGTAACATGAAATCGATGTAGTCCATCTTGCTGATTTCCACTTGTGAGATGCACAGTACTAGCAGTCAGGAATACAACATGAAATTTGTCTTTAAAACATAACAATGTTACAATTTTCAAACAAAGCAATATACTGACTAGAAAATCCATCAAGAAACTGTAGAGGACAGAGATACAATAAAAACACACAGTAATAGCTGTTTCTTGAGTAGAATGCAGACTTCATTTTACAACAAATTAAGCTTTGAATTTCCAAAATATAAAATGCCAAAGCTTTTCCACATCAAACTTTAAAAATCAGAAAATTTCACCTTCACATTAAAAAGAGAAAAGCAAAGAAATCTTCAAGATCACTTAACAGTTATAATTTAAAATCTGGAATGTATAGCCACATTTGTACCTTTTCAAGTAAACAGTTCAATTGGATGGTTCTCTCAGTAAACTTCAACTCAAAACAATAGAAAAGTACTGTTCACCCACAGTAAACACAACAGTGATACTGTTACCTTTATCCGACTTAAAAATGTAACACATGGCAAATTAAAAAAAATTTATAAAGTGAACAAGAAACCAAAACAGGCCACCAATCTTAAGAATTATTACAATGCCAGACTTATAAAAACATCTTAAATCAGCAGCATATCCTAAATGTAATGCGTAGATATGAAAGCTATAAAGTAAGGTAGTTTTGTTAGCTGTATACTCCAAAATTTATGAGGAAATTTTGGACTCTACCTAAGCACAGCGTTATCAATGAAGTACACATCTCGAGACAATGGGCAACGTTCCCACTTAGGGGAAATATGTTCCTTTTTTCACACAGTGAAACTGAGAAAAATGATGTGAAATGAGAAGTCTCTCTCTAAAGTAATTTTCTTAAATACCCAGTAAAGCGAAGCTTGGGAAAGGCAGTTCTGAATTTTACACAAAACAGATTATTAAATATAAACACAAATCTCACTGCTTGGCACCAGGATCTTCTGAATTAAGCAACTTTAAACCATCATAATATTCTTAAATCATATTTCAAACTGTTACGCGTAACTGCTTTTATTTCCTGAATGAAAACTGTCCAACCTAATGACAACCTAGACTGTATATACAATAAGTCAAATTCACTTCGAAACAGAGCAATGATCATCAACCTTCTGTTTTGTCAAAACCATAATAGTAAGACATCTGTAAAAATTAGGATTTATCTGTGGCCAGTGACGGGCCCACAGAGCGCTGTCTTAGGCCACTCTGTTGAGTGTCTTTGCTTGCTCCCTCTTTATTTTCTGTTTCCTCTTCTGAAACATCTTCTTCATCAGCCTCTTGCTCCTCCTCCACTTTTTTCAGAGGTTGAGAAAGTTCTGGTGATGGTTTTTCTTAAAGATCAGAAATGTGCTTTTGTTAATGTACTAAATTTGTTTTAGAGTAAAATCAACATACAAGGATTCATAAGTCCTGGCATTTATGTTTAGAGTTTCAAAAAGAATTAAGCAGATTTCATAAAAAAAGATTCATTTATCAAATTCTAATTACCTCCGTGTTCAAAAGCTAACCCAGCACTGATGAATCAATGTCAATGCAGTGAAGACAGAGCTGAGGTAAATTGTACTGCACTAAACAGAGCCATCTTATAACAACTTGATAATTTTTCGGTCTGTAAGTACACTCTAGCACTATCCCATTGCAGCGCCCAGAGAAATAAAAATCATATATTTACAAAAGTTGCGTTCTTGCCCAGGTATTTTCTCAAAACTGTAATCCCCTTTCCCCACCCTCAACTAAGTAATTTACTAAGGTACAATTGCAAGCAATAAAATGTAGAAACTGTAAGAACACCCCATGTGTAGACTATTTTTTAGAGGTCTAGACAATAATTAAGTTCCAAGTGCACTGTGTTATAGACAGATACAGAAGGTAGAGCCGGCCCAAAGAGGTTTACTGTATTCAGTGATCCGAGACTGCTCCAATCCTAGGTGACCCCTTACAGGGACGGGGAGGTCACAAATGCAGACAGCTGCAGAAAGACACTCAGTGCTAACCACCTGGCAAACCTCTTCATGTTGGGCACTAGTGAACACTTCAGATTACAACAGCGGTACCCTACCCAGACTGTCCCCTCAAAGAACACCTGGTAATGTCTGCAGAGGGTCAAATGTGATGAAGACAGAACTACTGGAACAAGTGCAACACCACTGACCATTCAGCATCGTACAGTTTTGTACACGCAAAAGACAGTCCACTCGAACAAAACTGACATGTCGAAAATACAGTAAGTGTCAAGAAGTGAGCTTTATACAGAGTGGAATATACAGAATTTCTTCAACTCTGGGACTATGAGCCACAGCCTTCTATGTTAATCTTACACTAATGAAGAGTTCTGAGCACACTAAGCTAAAGGTAAGTGAACTTAACAGTGGCAGGAATAGTATTAATAAGAAGGAATAGGGTTTCTAATTATGGAAATTAATTTTGTAACACAGGCCACCATCAACACCAACTAACCCTTAATCAGCTTTTCCTACTATCCTACCAAAAAAAAAAAAAAGGAAAATTAGTTGGCTACAAGGAAATCTTCAAATGTGGTCACCACCCTAATGAATGGTATCAAAAGTGGAAAACTTTTAGCTTTTAAAATATAGATCCATGGATGTAGTAAATTTGTCAAATAAACCGATGAGATCAGTGTTATGAAGTACCCATGAACTACATGAAATATTGATATTCTCTGGTTTCTAACACTGTTCCGAGATCTGGCCATCATTTTACGTGAACTACGTATTTTCCCCTTCCCCTATGTCACTGCTGACAGGGATCAGCATGTACATTTACTGACACAGGCTCAGAGCAGCCTGTGACGTTCTTACAGGAGTGAAAACCTCCCGGTGTAGGCTGCGCAGCAGGTGTAGCTCGGTGGGAGTGCCTGCCCAGCTCACATGCATCCCTAAGAGTCCAGCCCCAATGCCACTTGCATGCGCACACACCAACTTACTTGTGGGGTGTTGCTGTGGTTTGCGCCTTTTTGAAGGGCAAAAGCAGTCTGCCACAAATATCATACACTGCAAAATAAGCAGAAGTGTTAATGTATGGCGTGCAACACAACTAATACTAACAATGCTTTCATGTTTTCAAGTATTTTTTCTAGTAATTAAGTAGAAAGTACTCTAAAATGAAGCACTTACAAGTCCCAACAGCAGTCCTGAGAACACAGTCGCGAAAGCAAAGACCAGGTATGAGCCCCACGCCGGTATTCCAAGGTCATGAACAAAATAGCTGTGGCTAGTCTGAAACAGAGAGAAATATCTAAAATTATGCTCATTAATAACAAGTGTTAGAAATAGTTGAGATAGAAAAGGCTTAATCCATACCCTGATGTACACGGAGAGCTGGAAAAGTGCTGACATAGTTGTCATCCTGAAAGAGAGGATTGAAACATTCAACAGACATACAGCTTTGTGTCTATCCACTCTCCCTTCTACTTGGTTTCTCCAAGATGCAGACTTTTCTGCTGGAATTTATCACCTGAGAGCCTTTGATGAGATATACATAACATCATGGAGGTCAAAATAACTACTTTCACACTGGTAACCGCAGGGGCTTGGATGAGCAGGGCTTTGTTGTTTTGTTTTACACTTGAACAACAGAAAGTGTTTATCGGGTTTACAACTTGGTGCCTGTAACTAGTACGACTGGTGCTACGTAGGGCGTCTTCACGCAGAAGCCTACAGTTAGCTCCATCCACCCCAACTGCCAAAGTGCCGAGGTGAGGACAGTAGCCTTGCTGAACTGGGATAGCCCCTCTTCAGTCTACTAATAAAAAGGGGTAGCCTCTGCACTGAAGATTCCAGAGAAACTGAAAAGCAGCCACATTCCTCCACTAGAGAGGGAGGGGTGAGTCATGAGCAACTCATTAAGTTGCTTCTTAAGTTCAACACAGAAAAGCACTCTCCTTCATGTTGCTTGTGTCCTTTAAAAAGCCAAGCAGGTGTGGTTCACACTTGTAATCTCAGCAACTGAGAGGCTGGGGCAGGAGAATGAAAAGTTGAAGGCCAGGCTGGGCTATCCAGCAAGACCCTGTGAGAAACAAAAGTGGAACTGAAATGTAAAGCCTCACTGTAGTCTGCACTAATTAATCTGCACTAGGACTTCCAGGCTCTGAGCTGAGCAGGGCATGGTTGCCCAGTGGGCAAGTTCTGGGGGCTGAAGGATGATTAGAAGTTTTGCCACCCGGAGACACAGAGGGGTGCTCTTCTGCTTCCAAATACCTCCAGGCCGATTTCTTCCCATTCCCAGAACCCACACAGCATTGTGCTCTTACAGTTAATATCCCAACTCCCCACCTTCTGATGGCGAGCATGGGGAAGGACAGGAGTAACACAGTCACACCAAGACGGGGCCACAATGGCCTCAGCCAAGTCTACACTGCCAAGTCTCCCCAGTGCGGCAGGAAACATGCTTGCCATTCTCCAGCCTAACTGCTATGGTGAATGTCCCCACCTTCTAGCTGTAAGCTCGTCATTATTCACTGAGCAGACACACTATTCATGAAAGTTATAGGGAAAAACCACCCGAACAGTCACTTCACATTGACAATGGAAGCACATGACTGAACACTCTTAATCCCATTAACATTGGATCAAGACAGAGCCTTGCCCATTATGCTGCTCAGTTTCTAAAGTATAAGGTTCTCAATTACAAACAACCAAATCAAAGCTAAAATACTGTCGCTGTGATCCTACAAAATGCCTACTCTGAGCTCATATGAATAAAGGTGGCTGTCCTAAAGGTCACAGTAAACATACATCTGAATATACACAGCATAAGAACCCAAGTATGCTTGCTTAACTTACATGAAACAATTATCTGCAATTAATTCTCAAGTAAGAAAGTCCTCATACTTACAGAACAGAGCTTGGACCAAACCATGATGAAACAGGTTCAACATTCTTCCATTCCTTCTCACTTATGAAGTTAATGAAATCCTTCTTAGTCCTTGGGCCCAGATAGCGCCTAAATTCACCATCTTTACAACTAAAGATCACAAGTAAATATTAACTGGCAGGAAGAAATGTGTTTTACCATTTTTTCATTTTATAGTCAAGCCTAATCTTCAAACAGTAGCAAAGCACCGGAACATATGATGGCATCACAGCCCCAAACATATAAAAACATAAGCTTTTATTCTTTCAAATAATAAAATGATGAAACACTGCCAGTAGAAAAATCCCCTTCAGCCTACATGTGTAATACACATGTTAAATGAATCACTATAGTCACTAGAATAGTGCCTGATATACAACATCAAGGCTTTTTTTTTTTTTTAAGCTGTAAGTTAAAATTTCTCTAGCTCTTTGAGTCCTAATTTAATCATCTCAGTCATTCTACTTTAAACTGCTAGAGACACCTGGCACAGTCCTTCCCTGTGAGGGATGTCGGCAGGTCTGACTAGGGTCAGGTTTGCACTCTTCCTCCACCTGCCCTCACATTCTCAGCGTATGGTGTTCTGTAACAGATGGGCATTCTCTCGGCTCCCACATCTGTTAAGTGTCAATAGTTCCTACTTACATCAAGACTATGATGAGGCCTTAGTCAAGCAGGCCATTTGGAAGGAGGTGACATTTTAAGCTGACATTTTCTGAAAGGTGGGTAAAATTTCAACAGAAATTATGGGAGGAAAGATCAGACAGACAACATGACTAAAAGAAAAGTACTTGAAATTCCAGGTAAGTTCACATTAAGAAATGAGAAAAGAAAGAATGAGAGAAGGAGACCAACTAGAACCAGATGGGGGAAAGAACTGAGATGAAGAGGAACAAAACACCTAAGAAAATAAATCTAGAGCTGAGTTTTGTACAGTGTAGTTAAGTATGGATCTATCTGCATTCTATACACAGACATCCCATTTGACCGGCAACATTTACTGAAGATTCTTGCTTTACTGCAGTGTTTTTGCTTTGTCAAAAATCACATGTGTGAACTTATCTGTGGGTCTTCAATTAATTCCAACAATCAACATGTCCGTTTTATGGCAATACCATGCTGTCTTTATTACGACAGCTCTGTGGTAAAACTTAAAATTGGACGCGGTGATACCTCCAGCAGTTCTTTTATTATTTAGGACTGCTTTAGCTATCCTAGGTTCTTGATGTTTCTGTATAAAGACAGGAATTGCTTTTTTCAATTTCTGTGAAAATTTCCAACTGTTTTGGACTTCTGATGGGGATTGTGTTCAATCTGTAGAATACTTTTGGTAGGATATTAATTCTACCAGTGCCCGAGCATGGAGATCTTTCCATCTTCTGGTGTCTTTTTTCCATGTCTTAGAGTTTTTATTATGTAAGTCACTTGCTTTGTTGGCTAGTTATTCCAAGAGACTACTGATAGTGTCCCCCTGACTTTCTCAGGCTATTGACTTTTGTGAGTTAATGTTTTATCATGCTTACTTTGCTTAAAGAGTTTATCAGCAATAGATGTTTCCTGGTAGAGTTTCTGGGATCTTTTCTGCATAAAGTCATTATCTGCAAATAAAGATATTTTGCCTTCTTCCTTTGATATATATCCCCTTGATCTCGTTCAGTTAACTTAGTGATCTAGCTAAGACTTCAAGTGCTATATTGAATAGATATGGAGAGAGTGGGCATCCTTGTCTTGTTCCTGATTATTTTAGAGGAAAAGAAATGCTTTGAGTTCTTTCCCTAGGTTAACATTGGCTGTGGGCTTGCTTTAAATTACATTTATTTTGAGGTATGTTCCTTGTATCCCTCGTCTCTCTAGAGCTTTCATCACAAAGGCCGAAGGCCTTTTGTGCATCTAATGAGATGGGTTTTGTCTTTTAGTCTGTTTATGTGGTAGATTATGTTTGCTGATTTACATATGTTGAACCATTTCTGGATCTCTGGGATGACGCCAACTTGATCATGATGGATAATCTTTTTAATGTCTTCTTGAATTCAGTTTGCAAGTATTTTATTGAGAATCTTCCACCTATATTTATAAGGGATACTGATCTATAATTTTCTTTCTTTCTTTGGCCTTTGTGTTGTTTTGGTATTTGGTAAAAAGAATTGGGAAATGTTCCTTCACTTTCTATAATGTGGAATAACTTAGGAAGTATTGGTACTGATTCTTTTTGAATTATGTAGTAAATTCATCTGGCCCTGAACTTAGTTCGTTGGTTGATTTAGTTACCACTATTATTTCACTACAGATTACAGGCCTGTTTAAATTGTTTATTTGATCTTGATCTAACTTGTATATATCAAGAAATTCATCCAATTCTTTTACAGTTTGGTAGAAGAGAGATTTTTGTTTTTTGTTTTTCAAGACAGGGTTTCTCTGTACATCCTTGGCTGTCCTGGACTCACAGAGATAAATTTGCATCTGCCTCCCAAGTGCTGGGATTAAAGGCATGTGCTACCACAGCCAGCAGAGCACAGGTTTTGAAGTATGTCCCTATGATTCTCTGAATTTCTTTGGTGTTTGTTTTTATATTCTCCTTTTCATCTCTGATTTTGTCAATTTGCATCTTCTGTCTTTTATTAATTTGGCCAAGAGTTTGACAAAAAAAGAAGCGAGGAAGATGTTGCTGTAACTCTAAATGAGGAAAGAAGCACTTCCTGGTATTTCACCAGATATTACGCTGTGGTACAGGTCAAGTAAACAGACTAGAGACTGTGTAGTTTGAGAAATGAAAGTCACAGTGGCAGAGGCAAGACTTGTTCACTCTAACTCACAGAAGCCAGTGTATGCTGCCGCACTGTGTCCTATCCCAACCCCTGTATAGTCTGTGTGACAGCACTTTCTCAGCCAGTTTAACAGACCATGTGCATCCTGTCTGAGAGCACTCAGGAGAATGCTTACCCTGCCTTCTTCAAAATTCTACTCCTGGGGTCTCATGTAAAACTCATGCTCTCCAGGAACTGTTCTGGCCAGCTGTGGCTTCTCCCTACCACCCAGCTCCCACAGAACTTATTCAGACTCTCGGCTCATAGGTACTTGTAAGATGAACTTTTATTTGCCTGGTTCAACCTGAGCCTAGTCCTGGAAGTTTCTAGCCTCAGTACAATCTAACCTAAGCCTAGAATGTTTTCAGCCTCTGAGACTTACTGCTTAATAAGCTCACCCTTTCTTGTTCTTTCTGAGCTCTGGGCTGGCTGGTTCAACTCAGCTGTACTGGCTCAAACTCCTCTCCCAGCTGACTAATTCAATCTGGCTTTTCTCTTGTCTTCTGAATTGCTCTGCCTGGCCTCAAACTATCTCCAGCAATCTGCTCAAACCTCCAGGCTCCTTCTCATACCTTGGCTCATTTGGTCTTCACCTGAGTTCTCTCTCTGCAACCTGTCTCTATTACCATCCTGGTAAAACTGCTTCCTCTCTCTCTCTCTCTCTCTCTCTCTCTCTCTCTCTCACTGGCCCTAAGTAGCTCCCCTTTCCTCTCTCTTCACGAGAGTTGGGCATATTCTATTCTGTCAAGTTTTTCTCTGATTCATCACTGTTTCTGCCACCTTATTAGACATCACTTTCAAACGTGGGTGTTTCGTTCTACAAACTATCTTTACCTTAAAGGTATACCACCATGTCTGGACCTAAGCTTTTCTTGCTCTTTATCAGGCTGGCCTTGACCTCAGATCTGCTGCCTCAGTCTCCTGGATTTATAGGTGTGTTTGTATTCCATCAGGATCACACAGACCTAGAAGGTCTTTGGACGTGATCTATTGCCAGAACAGCCATGTTTTGAATTAAAATTCCTCTACAGGTACTGATTATATTTAAGAGGACCACACCAATTCATGAGAACATAACTGTCTGCAGCAATTACAAGCCCCCAAGAACAAGAAGCATTTTATGCATCATTTATCTACTGTCATTTATAAGAGTTATGGTACCACTACAACCAAAGCAAGCTCTCTAAAGTCCTTGCCGATTATAATGATTATAATGGGATTACCTCAGCTCTTCAAATATAATCCAAGTCAGAGACCTATTGCTCTCATTACACCATGATGTATTCCTTCCTGTGACTAAGAACCTCCAAATACTTACTGGTAAATAGAAGGAAGAGCAGTTATAATAAACCGTCCACTCAGTCCTACAAATGACAAGAAATAAACAACAGATTTTATTAGGGACAACTGCTAACTTAAATATTGATTCAAATTATTTAAATGCTAATAAGAACAAGAAAATACCTAAAGGTGAGATTTGTAATCAACAATGAGAATATAGATTAGTTGTTAAAGCAACTTTAAACACACACTTATGAACGTAAGTTAATTAAAATTTATGAAGCCTAAATACTGAAGTTATTTGTGAATAATTAAGTACCTGAGCAATTAATTACACCACATTGTGAGTGAATGGTGGTGATCAGTCAAGTAAAAACAATCTTAAGAAATTCTCAAATGAGGAAAATGTATTTGCCATTTAAGAACAAAGGTAGTTTGTTCTTGAATGTTGTTCTTGAAAGTGTTGTTGCTAAGAATGGGAAATGGTATCAAACTATGAATCAGGTGACAGGCAACAGCAGCAGGTGACATGTGATATTAACCACCTATCAAAATATGATAAACAACATTAGCGAAGCAACAGAACCAGCCAAGAGTTAGGATACCTGTCTGCTCTGTGACATCCACTTTTGCAACTTTAACCTCAAGATCTTCTCCCCATTCAGCAAAACTTTCCCATTCTGGCTGAAGATTCTGGCAAGCAGGGCACCAGGGAGCATAACTATAAAACATGGTTAAAAATTTAAGTTCACACCTTCAATGGCCTGACTCTGAAGAATGTTTTATGCATAATTTCTGGAGAATGTTTATATTTGTAATACAGAAAATGATCCATGTAGGTGGTTCATGCCTGTAATCCCATTTAGGAAGCTGAGGCAGGAGGACTCCTGAGTTCAAGCCTAGCAGGGATTACAGAGTGAGACCTTGTGTTAAACAAGGAAACAAACAAACAGGATACTTTCATGCAGATGAAAAAAAATTGAAAGTATGAGGCTGGCAATGCTGACATCAAGAAATGTTCAAGTGATGAGCTGAACCACATAAAAAAAAAAAAAAAAGGAAGCCTGAGGATAAATTCTTAAATACTCAAGAGCTTTCTAACATATCAAATAGCACTTTCAAAACCTTTAGATTTTTTTTTTTTTAATTAAAACATGGCAAACCATGTGTTTGTTTGAGAGTTCACTGGTAGTTTTACAAGCAGGGTAAAATGGGAAGTAGCTGCAGCCAGGTACACAGCTGGTACTGGAACGCCATCAGGATTGCCCCAGGAAGGCACGTCACTCACGACAATCGAAGCTGGGGACCTGCATCTCACGTACAAACATTACTCTAACCCTAACCCCACACAAGTACTAAGCAGGGTAGACAAAACTCCACAGGCCAGCACCATGTCAACCTGTGTCCAAAGGCCCTGAGCTTACAAATTCAATGGCCAAGGACACCAGCACTCTAACCACAGCTCTGAAACTCACTATCTTTTCAGGCCCAAGATTTTCCTTAGAGTCTTTTTTTCTATTTCATTGCATATCATAATTTGCTTTAGCTTATAGAACCAGGAAAATCGAAGCCTAGGCCTATCAAAACACTTCTGTAATTTCACATTTTCACGAACTGTTTTAAGAAAACAAAGCTTCTAAGACACGAATGTAAAACAAGACAAACCAGGTTACATACAAAAGACAAACTGCCCCCTCCCCCCAAGATACGGTTTCTCTATGTGTACCCTCAGCTGTCTGGGACTTGCTTTGTAGACCAAGCTGGCCTCGAACTCAAAGCAATCCACCTGCCTCTGCCTCCCTGAGTGCTGGGATTACACACACCTGGCTACAAAAGCCAAATTCTTTAACAGTAAAATTACAATGAAAACAGCTTTATAATAAAGCTTATTAGAAGTGGATTTACAGAAAATAATTCACTTGTAATTAAGGGTAGACTATTCTGACTATCAAGTGTGTTGTTTTTTAATGCCTTTTTAAAGAGCTTCTTTAAACTCCCAAATTTTAGCCAAGGAGAAAGGGGAGCACTGGATACTAGAATTTCAGATGGATGTTTTTATTTCATATTCTATGTCAGTTTTGTTCCACTTTATACCTCTTCTGGAGGTTACATTTACAGTGAGACAAAAAGTTTAAAAGTATCCTGTAATATTTGACTATATTTTGTAAATATATATAATATATATTTATATAATTATATAAATTTAATTATTTATATGTTATATATAACTTATATATAAATTTATATATATTTATAATTATTACTGCTTTAACACTAAACCACTTATGGGCACAATTGAAGTTATTCATGACAATGGCTGAAAACCAAACACCATGAGTTATTGTTCCTCTCCTGAAAATTCACCTCAGTGAGTAACACGTTGTCAGTACACTAAACATTTTCCCTACCTTACCCTCCATATAAAGGTTTTAGACATTTCCTTTTGTTTTATGACTCATGTGTCACAGATCTCATCCGGGGCCTCCCCTGAGAATGTCCACTTCCACCTTTTCTGTAATGAGCCACCCTAAAGATAATCGCAAAATAGAAAAGCGCCAGAATCTTCCTGAAGGCTTGCTAACAACAGTGCCTGCATATTTACTCTAAAGGCCCAGCAAAGCTTCCACAGCAGCATCTGAACAGGCCGACCTGTAAAGCGGGGGTGGAGGATGGTTAATTACTATAAGGAGTACGTAGATTAATTACAGCAATGTAGGTAAAGGTACCCAGCAGAGTCCAGGAAACAGTTAATATTCAGTAGTGGTGCCTTTGCCAGTCTCAATAATGCCATCTATTAGTAACACCATGAGCCATTCCATCAATTTGTCATCTAAAACAAAGGCCAAAGGTGGTTTCCATACTACCGCAGCAGAACGACATCGCTGAGGTACAGTCATCACACAAGACAAGCGACTTTGCTCGAATAATAAATGATGAACTGGCGTTCTTAAAGAGCCTATTAATAATCACACTGATGCATACGCAATACCACTCACAGGCCTACAAGTCACAATTTAAGCCATTCTCTAAATTAAAAACGCACGCCCAAGGAAAAACGAGATTCAGATGAAAAGGAAATGAATGCAAGCAAGGAGAAAAAAAGAGAAAGATTTTAAAATAAATTTTAATGTATTTGGCACTCACAATTTAAAAAAAAAAAAAATCCCAAATAAAAAAAGTCCCAAATTCAAGCGTCACAAATAGGTATACCTAACAATTCCCTAATGACAGGCTAACAGCGAGGTTTTGTTTAATGTCGTCGTTTGTAAAACCTGGGGACTTAAAGTCCGGATGTCTATAAAAGATCACTAAAATAGTCTACAGAGACGGCCAAGACCTTCACCCCACCCGATCCCACCCTCAAACCCGCCAGGGCTGCTCCAGAGAATTCGATGTGGCACGTAATCCTTTAATGGGTGCCTAGCAACGGCGAGGCTCAGGTGCACGCCGAGACAGACACGACGCTGGAGCTCGGGGCCCGCCGAGGCTGGGACCCCGAGCCCCGGCCGAGGAAGACAGGCTGGTCAGGTGTCCCGCTGGAGGGAGGGGGCGGCTGCGGACCCCACCAAGACCCCCCACCATCGCCCCGCACTCACAACTCAATCATCCACTCTCCTTCCAGCAAGGAGGTCCAGTTCTCGTCGGTGAGGACGCGCACGTTGCTCCGCCGCCCGTGGGCCCCAGGGACCGCCCAGAGCAACAGGACCAGGGCTGCCAGGGGAACCAGGAGACGCCCCAAGTGCGCCATGTCAGCCGCTCGCACAGCCTCGGCGCGCGCGCCCGCCCCACCTCCCCGCAGCGGCTCCACTTCCGCTCTGGCCTCCGCTCGGCTCATGCGCACAAAGAGCCTGCGGGGCGCGCGGGCCCCCCAGCCACTCAGTGCGCATGCTCGGGCCCCGGTCCTGGCGGGAGGTGGAGGGAGAAGAGGGAAGTGCGTCTGTGCCCCTGCGCGTGGCTGACGGGGGGACTGCGGACTGTGGTTCCTCGGAAAGCGCTAGAAGGGGCGGCGGGCGGAGGGATCGGGGCGGTGTGCGGCCGCTGAACGGCCCCGGCGTGCCCGCCAGTGCCTAGTAGGGTCTCCATGACGGTTTTCTCTGGGACGTCCCCCTTCAAAATATCATCAGTTAGACGAGTGCTGGCTGTGCTTACTGTACCTGCAGTATGCCTGGGGCTCACGACGCCATGTGCTAATCAGTTTCGGGGTGATGTGGGGAGTGCCTCACATGTGTGGGTAGATGTGCGCGGAAGAAGCCAAGATGGCTGCAGCAGCTCCAGGCTTCCTGGCATGGAGTGGGATAGGTGGGTCTAGGCAGCCTCCGTCATGGCAGTGTGTTAAGCAGCTTTATTGTCGTAGTGTGACTGGGTTAGGTTTGTTCCTTTGCCGACTTAATTAGATTCAGGGCAAGGACCTCACCGAAATGTGCTCCTCCTTGCCTTAAACACTGCTATTATGCTATTATGTTTGAGATAATAAAATTAATTTAACCCTACTAATTATCAGCCACTTGTTGGATTCACTTGGCCTAAAATCTGTCCCTTCCTTCTGTTGTTAGGGTATTGATGTGAACCATAATCTGCAGTCTAGGGTTTGCTTTTTAAAGTGATGCAGTTAATAATACACAATTCACATGTCTTACAATTTTCACTTAAGTACGTCATGCAATGGTTCTTCGTATAGTCACAGAGGTGGGCAGCCCCATTTAGAGCACTGTCATCACTCCAAAAAGAAACCCCATGTCCATGTGGAGTCCCAGCTATTTCTGCCCGTCCAGTCAGTCATTCTTTACCCTGGCCTTAGGCAAACACTCCTCTACTTTCTGTCTTGGCGGCTCTACGAATTGGATCTCGTGTTGTCCTTTGTGATTAGCTTTTTTTTTTTTTTTTTTTTTTAACTCTTTAAGCATGGTTCCCTGAACTTCCTCTAACATTTGTAATGGATGGCTTCGTTAAATCCTGGCCCTCTCATAGGTAGTTTCTGTTGCCTGCTCTCCGCCTTCCTGCACACGGGCTATATTTTTCTGTCTTCCCATAACTCAAAATCTCTTACTGGAAACTAGGGTTTTAGGGAGTGTAATTCTGGATGTGGATTCTCCTTTTGGCACTCCATCTTTTGTTTAGTGAGTTGGAAAGGCAATTCTAGAAAAGTCCGTTTCTCAGGGAATGCCGCCCTGGACATGTTCACGGCCCACCTGGGTGATGGTGGTTTTAGCAGGGCTCCTAGGCGATCACTATTCCCGATGGATCTGCCTGATTTCTCATTTCCAGCTGTAATATTACACGAAGTGTTGGCTGATTGTTTTTGTTTTGATTTAATTTTCTGGGCATAAATTATTCTACCACCTAATAAGCTTTGGCAGATAGTTTTTGAGGTCAGTGGTTGAGATTTATTTTAACCTCAGGGTGGTTCTTCATTCTCTCCTTTCTTAGTTCTCTTTGGTGAACTAAGTGGCGTATGCATTAGCATCTTGCTCCTAATTAAGAAAAACTTTTTTTGTGTGTGACTTTAGGCTTTGACCATTCCTCCATATTCTGTTTAATGAAGTCCATTTCTTTAGGGAGTGTTCAGGGTTCTCTGTTTTGTGTGAACTGACTTTCCTGGGTACAGACAGCCTCAGCTAGTATTCTAGGCACAGCGTAGACCAGAGGATCTAGTTTTCTAGACTTAATTCTATTAGAGTGTAGCCTCTGTCACAAGAGCAAAATGGTGGAGACTGGGTTGAGAAGGTGACAGAGGCACCATTGTTCTCAGCTTGCTCTCTCAGAGCTTTCTCTTCGCATGTGATGTTCTAGGCACTACAGATTTAGTCTTTGCAACTCAGAGTTGGAAGAGATAAAGATGGTGGTGACCTTTGCTTCCCTATGAGACACTCTGTCTCTTGACTGAGAGTGGAGAGGGGAGGAAGCCTGTGTTCTCAGACACACGGCATCTACAGTAGTTTCTACCACAATGAACTGGGGTAGGAGAGTGGTGAGGTCAATAGGAGCTTGAGATGGTTCAGATACCAGGGTCTTGCTTTTCTTACTGAATTTGAGTACATTTTCTTGAAGGAAAAAGAAAAAAAGCCATCATTTACTGTATGCAGTTTCCAGAAACTTTCAGTGAGTTTTTTGGTTGTGTAGTTTTCAGCAATGTTATGGGATGAGTTATGTCCCTAGAAATTCATACACCGAAGTCCTTATGCTCAGTAACTCATAATGAGAGTGCATCTGAAGACAGGGTTTTTAAAGAGGCAGTTTAAACAAGGTCATTCAGGGGCCTGAAGTTACTAAAAAGGCTGTGCTGGATAGTTTTATGTCAACTTGATACAAGTTAAAGTCATCTAAGAGGAGGGAACCTTGATTAAGAAAAATGGATCGTAGGATCTGGCTGTGGACATTTTTGTAATTAGTGGTTGATCAGGGGAGGGCCCCATTGTGGGTGGCATCATCTCTGGCCTGGGAGTTCTGGCTTCTATAAGAAAGCAGAGTAAGCAAGCCAGTAAGCAGTTCCCCTCCATGGCCTGTCCACCCAGCAGCTCCTGCTTCCAGGTTCATACCTGTTTGAGGTCCTGTCCTGTCTTCCTTTATTAATGGACTATTGATGTGGGAGTGTAAACAGAATAAATCTTTTCCTTCCCAACTTGCTTTTTTGGTCATGGACTTTCATCACAGCAATAGAAATCCTAAGGCAAAGGGTGTCCTTAGGAGAGAAGAAGGTTAGAACACAGGTATGTCATGAAAGTTCTGAAGATTTTAGGAAAAAAAGCCTCAAAATAATAAAGGCTGTGTACAACAAACCTATAGTCAATGTTATGTTAAATGGAGACAAACTGAGAGCATTTTCTTTAAAACCAGGAACAAAACAAGGATGCCCATCCACACTTCTCTCTCTTCTTTATTTATAAAGGGTTGAAATCTTAGCAATAGCAATTATATAAGAGAAAGGCATAAAGGGAATAAAAAATAGGGAAGAAAAAAGACAATCCATCCTGGTTTGCAGATGACATGATTCTTTATTTAAAAGACGTTAGAAAACTCTTGAACCTAATGAATACGGTAAAGTTGCTATTTATAAAATAAGTCTTTAGGATGTGGAGAAAGGGGAACCCTACTCCACTGCTGATGGGAATGTAAACTTGTACAACCACTTTGGAAATCAATCTGGTGCTTTCTCTGACAAATAGGAATAGTGTTTCCTCAGGATCCAGCTATACCACTCCTAGGCATATGTCCAAAAGATGCTCAAGTATACAACAAGGACATCTACTCAACCATGTTTGTAAGAGCTTTATTTGTAATAGCCAGAAGCTGGAAACAACCCGGATGCCCCTCAACTGAAGAATGGATGCAGAAATGGTGGTATATCTACACAATGGAATGTTACTCAGCAATAAAAAAAAACAAGGAAATCACGAAACTTGCAGGCAAACGGTGGGAACTGGAAAAGATCATCCTAAGTGAGGTATCCCAGAAGCAGAAAGACACACAGGGTATATACTCACTCTTAAGTGGAGATTAGATATATACTATAGGATAAACATACTAAAATCTGTACACCTAAAAAAACTAATCAAGAAGGAGGACTCTGGCTAAGATGCTCAATCCTCATTCAGAAAGGCAAAGAGGATGAACATCAGAGAAGGAAAAAACAGGGAACAGGACAGGAGCCTACCACAAAGGGCCTCTGAAAGGCTCTACCCCACAGGGTATCAGAGAAGATGCTGAGACTTATAGCCAAACTTTGGGCAGAGTGCAGGGAATCTTATGAAAGAAGGGAGAGATAGTAAGACCTGAAGAGGACAGGAGCTCCACATGGAGAGCAACAGAACCAAAAAATCTGGGCACAGGTTTCTGAGACTGATACTCCAACCAAGGACCATTCATGGAGATAACCTAGAACCCCTACACAGATGTAGCCCATGGCAGTTCAGTGTCCAAGTGGGTTCCATAGTAATGGGAACAGGGATTGTCTCTGACATGAACTGATTGGCCAGCTCTTTCATCACCAACCCCTGATGGGGGATCAGCCTTACCAGGCCAAAGAAGAAGACAATGCAGACAGTCCTGATGAGACCTGATAGACTAGGATCAGAAGGAAGGAGAGGAGGACCTCCCTATCAGTGGACTTTGGGAGGGACATGGGTGAAGAAGTGGGAGGAGGGTGGGATTGGGAGGGGAGGAGGGCGGGACCTACAAAGGGTATACAATGTGAATAAACTGTAATTAATAAAAATAAAAAATAAAGTTAAAAAAAGGAAAAAGTCTTTAAAAACAAAAGACAAACAAGAGCCTTCATTTATAGCAACATTGTATTCCCAGAGAAAGATTAGGGGGAACATACCATTCAAAATAATCTGCCTCCCAATTACGTATTTTGGAATATATCTAACCAGAAAAATGATGATTTCTAAAAAAAAAAAAACCCTCAAGATATTGAAAATTGAAATTACGGAAGATACTAGATGATGAAAAAAACATCCCATGCTCTTGGATTGGCAGTTAATATTGTGAAAATGGCTATGCTACCAATATTAGTTTACAGATTTAATGTAATACCTAACAAAATTATGATGCTATATTTCACATATTTAGGAAAAAAACAATGAAAGAATTCATTTGGAGGCACACACACCCAAAAAAAAATCACAAACAGCCAAAGCAATCCTGGGGAGTAAAATCCCTGCTGGGGACTGAAAAATACCTAACTCCAAATTATACTGTAGGGCTGTAGTGATAGTCAGCCTGGTGCTGGCATAAGGACAGAGAGCTTGATGGGGTAGACTCAAGGACCAGGAAATCAAACCACAAAGCCGTTCCCACTAATCTTTGAAAAGGGA